GGGCTGCTATTCACACCACGTTTTTTTTCTTTTTCTTATTTTATTTTATTTTTATTTTTGTTTTGTTGCTGTTTAGAATTAAATCATTTTAAAATACTTCCAACATTGATAAAATTCACAAAAAATATTTTCTGGATAGTTTGAGATGTCTTTTATTTTATGAAATTTTTATTTTATTTTTTTGAATTATTTTTCATTTTTAAAAAGAATTAATCAATTGGAAGTGTTTCATTTGACCTAATTCTTGACATGTTCTTGTTCTTGTTTGGTTTTTGCATTTTCCTTTTGATCCAATGACTGAAAATCAATCCTCATATCCATGATGAGTTGAGTGATTTTTAAAGACCATTTTGCCCCTGTTTTGTTGAGTTTTGGTTTGACTTTTGTTGCATTTCATTTGACCCTCGACAATCCTCATTCATAATAGGACACCCTTGTGAATCAATTTTTTGGTGGTGTTGTGAATTGATTTTGATTGTAATCTCTTGGCTTATGTTTTCCAACATGTTTAAGGACTTTGTACATTTTATTTGGTTATTTTTGAATCATTTTCCTAATTTTGGGGTAACTTGCAAGTCAAGTTACCCCTAAGGGAGGTTCATACATACACATTGACCTAGTTTGCTTTGGAGATGATATTTATGGATCCTTTGAGCCTTTAATTCCTTTTGATTAATGTTTCTAACATGTTAAGGTTGTTGGTTGCTCAATTTTAGGTCATGATATTGTGTTTTGTTTGTTCATTTGTGTGTTTCTTTTGATGTTTCCATTTAGGGTTTCCATATGTGACATGCTTGCATTCTCTTGTGTATAAGCTTGTTTTCTCTTATGATGTAATTGCTTTTGCTTTTGAGCTCTTTTCTCTCATCCCCTCTTCTGTCCTATGACCTTGGAATTTCATTTAAGGTGTCTTAGTCCTTCCTGAGGAGGTACTTGAAGTATACCTAAAATGATGAATCCTTAAGGACTTGTTTGTGCTTTTTTTTCTTTTCACTTTGTTTGTGAGGCTTATGGTTGAGTGCATATTATGAGTTCCTTGCTGTCCTCATATAGCCTCCCATCCTCACTTTTGTTTTGAGCTTCCTTTCCTTTCATTTGATTTGGCTTTTGGTACTTGTGGTTGATGTTGTTTGGCTTAGGTCATTTCATCCCACTTTTGGTGCAATTTTGTGTGATTTCTTCTTATTTGTTTGATTTCACTTTGTGCATTACTTTCTCTCTTCTTCTTTTGCATTCTCATATGCATGCTTGAGGTTGATATGAGCTTGTGGTGGCTACTGCCCCACACATATTTCCTCCTTCACTTTCATCCTATTTGTGCATTATATGTTTGCATGTTTGCATTTTTATGTTTTTTCTCCTTCTTCTTCTTTTGTCTTTCTTTCCTTGGGATCTCTAATCTCTCTTCTTCAAGAGAGGTTATGATAGACATTAGGATCAAACCATGCATGATAACATTAGGTAGTTCCCTTTTGTCCCAACTTTAAGTACACTTTGCATGACAACTTTTAGGATTGAGTTAGTCTCTCATTAGTGTGTCCTTTCTCTCCTCATCTTCAAACATTCTCAAAACACATAATAAATGATAATGAATGTTTTACGTTACGAGCCTTAAGCTACTTGGGAAATCATGATTGAGTGGTTGCCTCTCAATTGTCTAGAATGTTAGTATATGTTCTTTGGACGATATGCGACACATTCGCTCCTAAGTCATAGTCTTTAGTGCAACATGAGTTACAAATCAAATTCAAAACACTTCTTCTCTAAAAAACACAAAAACACTTCAAATCTTTTTCACCCTTTGGGTTTCTTAATCAAGGGAAATCTTTTCAGATAAAAGAGTGTTATTAACTTTTAGTTCTACCGCAAACGGTAACGCCTAAGTCTCCAATGGTCGAGTTGCATACACCAACTGCTAGAACTACTCGTTAACCCTACTTGGGCCTAAAAAGCTTTTGAACCAATCTGTGGTCTTTTTTAGCCCGAACTACGATTGCTCTGATCTTTCATACCAGATGAAAGTACGTAGATACAAGACACACTGTTTTGGTGAGCAACCTTTCCCCCTTTCACCCGTAGTTAGCCGAACTACGTTGACTCTGACTTTCCCATTGCACGAGGGAATACGTAGGCACAGAGCGGCGATGCTCTGCCAAGTCTCTTTTCTTTTCTTTTGTCCCTTGACCTTTAGCTAAATAGATGATCACCATTTTAGATGGACAACATAAGCATGGATCCCGTTGAGTACGACGGACGTGAGGGGTGCTAATATCTTCCCCTTGCGTAACCAACTCCCGAATCCAGACTTGGTGGCGATGACATTGTCTTTTCCCTTTTTCGGTAGGTTTTTCCGATTGTTTCCTTTCCCTTTCTTTGGGATAAATAACAAAAGGTGGTGACTCTTCTGTTTTCTACCGGGTGTTTTTCGCAGTTGCGACACATATTATACAGAAACGAGTATGTAAACTATAATCATTGTCCGAAGTGCAAGGCGTCACGCTACAAAAAGAAAGTTGGTGATTCTAGTGATGATGAGGCGGTAAAAAAGGTTCCTCCCGCGAAAGTGGTATGGTACCTACCAATAATTTCAAGGTTCAAGAGACTATTCCATAATGCAAATGACACAAAGAATCTTAGATGGCATGCAGAAGAAAGAAAGTGTGATGGAAAAATTCGCCATGTAGCTGATTCTTTACAATGGAAGAAAACAGATGCTTTGTGTACGTACGTTGATCATATGCCGAAAACTCAAGCAAGTGTCAAAAAATACATACAAGATAAGTTACGTGACGAAAAGAGAGAGTGTCACTTGCTACCATTTATTCATGGGTAAGTTTGTATGAAATTATGTTTTCTATTTTTTAATTTTGGTAACATATATAGTTCAATTTTGGTAACATGAAATTGTGACTTTTGTGTTTCCACACACACGTATAGAGGTCATTGGCAATTAATAGTCATGTGTCCAAATGATAATACGGTGGTCGTCTTTTGTTCACTTCATCATGAACTTAATCAAACCATGACGAAAATTGTTACAAGGTAAGTTTATCTTTTATGTTCACTTCATCCTATATACATAATTTGTTACAAAAGTAATATCATATGTTATGTGCTTTATATGAACTTTTTTTCTTCTGAATTAGTGCTTTTGGGGTTCATCAAGCGGCAAATGGGAATAGAAAAAAGGCTACGTGGCTTCAACCCAATGTAAGCGTGGTGTAAATTATAATTACATATTTGATTTTATCATATAAGTATTCACTAATTATGTGTCATTCATTTGTAGACAAGGAAACAACCTAACTCTAATGATTCTGGGTATTATGTGATGAAAAATATGTTGGATATTGTCTCTGCCAATATAACCAATTCTTGGATGAAGGTAATAAAAATGACTTTAATTTGTTATTTACTTTATGTTTTGCAACTTAATGTGGATTTTCAAAGAATAACTCTATTGTTATTTACGTGTTATAGGTATTTGATGACCCAACGAACTTAACAAAAGATGATTTGTATGATTTGCGACTCCGTTAGGCAACATGTTTCTTTGAGTTATATAAAGGTTAAGCTTTTTGTTGTTGTTGCATCGTGTAAACCTCCTTATAATTTAGTACATTAGTATATATCTTATATCAGTACTTTTGTAAATCAATTATGTGTATACTAGATATTTGGTGCAACGAAATTAGATTTCTGAGAAAAATATGAAAATAACGACCTAAATATGGTCTATGTGATGTTGGAAAACTATGAAAATAGCGACCTAAATGTGGTCTATGTGATGTTGGGAAACTATGGAAAATAGCGACCTAATTATGGTCTGTGTGATGTTGGAAAAATATGAAAAATTAGGTACCAAAAAAGTTACAGGGAACGGCTAAAAAATAGGCAAATAATTTATACTCGTAACAGTACATTTCACATCGGGTTAATCACAGAACCGATGTTAAAAGTATCACCTAGGACTTTTCAAATCGGTCAAACAAGAGAACTGATGTTAAAAGTCTACCTAGGCACGTGTTTGACATTTTTTTTGTTTACTACAGTACTTTTTACATCGGATTAACCACACAACCGATGTAAAAAGTCTACCTTTTACATCGGTTTTTCCTTACAACTGATGTAAAAACACCCTTTTATAATTAAAATTTACAATTATATTTTTTTTCCACATCAGACTTAAAAATTTAACGGATGTGCTTGGAGTATTTCTTACATCGGGCCAAAACCCGATGTAAAATGTATTTGATTTACTACATCGCTTGACTTTAAATCGGACCCAGACCCGACGTAAAATATCATTTTCGCCCGATGTAAAAAGTCATTTATGCACTAATGGTTCAAATCCTTGGCGAGCACGCTAATTAAAAACTTAATTTTTCCCTTTAATTAAAACCAATGGCAAGTAGTCTTTAGATAATACATTCTCCTCGCATAACTGACTCTTTTACCCATTTCTCATCCTTAAAGATTTTATCGATATTTCATGATTAAAATAAATCTCTCAAGCATTTGTCCATACATTAACAAATATTTTTTTTCTTCAAATAAGTTTTTAATTAGTACCCCAAAATATTTTAGAATATAAAATTTAATTATATCCATAAAAAAAAGGGTGCTCATAAGCTGAAGGAGTAATATTTAACTTGAGCATATGAATATTTCTCAATAGAATGATAATATTATAACAACATGCTAAATGTTTTATTTTTACTTTAAAACATACAGAAGATATGTTACAAAATGTGTTTGAAGATTGAAAAACAAAATTAACTTTTAACTATAAAAAATGATTTCCTATTTATTATTAAAAGATATATACTATATTAAGACAAAACCTCAGTAACGGTATTCCCGTATGTTACTCAAGACAATAAAAACTCCTTTAACCAAAATCAATCATTTTCTTTTCATACTTACTTTCATTTTCCTCAACCCTTTTCTCTTCCTTCTTTGCACATTTTGAAAATTGTTTTGGTTTATGGTTTTTGGATATGGGGCAACAAACTTTGATCTATAGCTTTGTGGCTCGTGGAACCGTAGTTCTTGCAGAATATACAGAATTTTCTGGAAACTTTTCAACTATTGCATCTCAATGTTTACAAAAGCTTCCTTCTTCTAATAACAGATTCACCTACAATTGTGATGGCCACACTTTCAATTACCTTGTTGATAATGGCTTCAGTATGTTATCTTATGTTTTTGTAATATAGATCTTGAAATATTTTATCAAGTTGTTTATATTTTCTTTGTCATGATTTTGTAGCGTATTGCGTGGTGGCAGTTGAATCTGCTGGTAGACAGATTCCTATTGCTTATCTTGAGCGTGTCAAGGAAGAATTCAGCAAGAAATATGGTGGTGGCAAAGCCGCAACGGCTACAGCTCATAGCCTTAACAAAGAATACGGGTACTTCGTTTTTTCTTATTAATAATGTTGGTGTCTAGCATGTTTAATGTCATGACAGATGTTTGTTTCTGTAACCGTGTGTCAATATTCGTTAAACATGTTGATATACAAATACAACATGCTATAAAACATGTTGATTAATTGTTGCATTTTGTATGAAAATATATAGGCCTAAATTAAAGCAACAAATGCAATATTGTATTGATCATCCTGAAGAGATTAACAAGCTTGCTAAAGTGAAGGCTCAAGTTTCTGAAGTTAAGGGTGTTATGATGGAAAACATTGAAAAGGTAAGACCTTTGAAATTACCATTGGTTAAAATTATACTATATCTGGAAAAAAAATTTACTTGAAGAATTGATGTATCTGAACGCCATATAGTCTAGATATATTGATTCTTCAATTAATTAACAACTAATTTTTTTTATATTAAAGAGCAGAACAAGTAATATGAGAAGATTATTTATTTTAACCGATGATCATAGTTTAAAATATTTTTCAATTAATTTATAATAGGTTCTTGATCGTGGAGAAAAGATTGAGATGCTAGTGGATAAGACCGACAACCTTCGATCACAAGTTAGTAATATACATGAAATATTTCATTAATAGTGATTCATTTGTACATGCATTTGACATATATTGTATCACATGTTGCAGGCACAAGATTTTAGAACGCAGGGAACAAAGATGAAAAGAAAGATGTGGGTTCAAAATATGAAAGTCAAATTAATTGCTTTTGGTATTGGCATTGCAATAGTTTTGATGATATTTATGTCAATATGTCGTGGCTTTAGTTGCTTGAAATAGTTTTTTTTTTTCTTCTTCTCTTGAATCAATTGTACAAGATGTCATTTGTAATATTTGTGCATGTTTTTAATATCATGAACATATTTTTAGTTGATTATATAATTCAATTATATAGACTATTTAAGTAGTATATTTGCTCAAGATAACATGTATCTTTATATGCATTTAGTTAAAGAAGTTAGAAGGATTGTGCTAACTCCATATTTGTAAATAGTCATCCATAAAATAAAACATATTCAAGTCCATATGCCCAAATGGTTCAATAGTCGTTTATATTTTTATTTAGTGACATTTTCTTATAGTATTCATAATGTTTTTTTAATCTCTCGATTTACTCTCAACTTGGTATATGTTTCTTAATTTAAAAAAAATTCTAATTGAGGGTTAGCTTTTTTTTTATATTTTTTTTTAACTATTGGTTAACACAAAACTTAACTTCTTTGAGAAAAATTGGGTGTGATGAATTTTATCATAATTTGTATATCTTAGAAGGATATATAAGACTCACTATAAATTAAGTTCTACTAGTGTTTCCATTGTAAGTAATGCTCCCCTAATTTGAAGGAACTAGAACTCATAATGAGTTGTTAAGATTTGCAAGTGTTTTCATTGTAAATAATACTCCCCATATTTTGTTTCATTTTAGATTTGTACACCCATCTTCTAAGGTTCTCAAGAATGTGCCCATTGTTTTTTATTTTATTTACAATTTCTCTTTAAGTTTTGTTGATAATGATAGATATAACGTCAAACTTATTAAATATCTAATTTATTGTTTTAGAAAGATTAAATTTGATTTAAAAATATCATATTTAATTTAGAAAGATTAGATTAGATATTTTTAGGCTTTTATAATTTGAGTTTTGCCTTGGGGTGCAAGCTAACCTTAATTTAAAAATAGGGAGAAACTCTTATTTTATAAACATCTCATCTCATCTCATCATATTTTGTAATTCACAATTTGTAGTTGCAAGTTAAATAATAGAATTTTCATAGTTTGTGGGCAGAGAGTTCTCTGCAGAAAATTATTCATCTTCTTTTTCTCCAACGTTTACTTTCTTTCTTTCTAAATCTTTTCATCGTCATTACGTGAGTGGGAACAATCTTGATATCAAGATTGATTGAGTGAAATTCTCCATAGGTTGTTGTTTAATTTCCAACATTTGGTATTTAGAGCTCCGGTTACGATTCAAGGAATGAAAATCGTAATGGCAATGAATTATGCAAATTGTCACTTTCTGGCAAACCTTCCAATTCTCAAGAAAGATAATAATGAGAATTGGTGCAAACAGATTAAGGTGGTTTTCTGTTATCAAGATCTTTGGGATCTTGTGAAGGGAGGATTAGCACCGCTTGCAGAAAACGTGGCGGATCAAGAAAAGGTTGTATTTGAAGAATTGAAGAAGAAAGATTTTAAAGCTCTCTTTATAATCCACCAATGTGTATATCTAGATAATTTTGAAAATGTTAGTGATGTAGAATCAGCGAAGGAAGTGTGGGAGATTCTTGAAAATTCGTTTGGAGGCGTATAAAAGGTGAAAGATGCGAGGTTATAAACTCATAAGAGAACCTATGTGTTAGAATCACTCATATTTTAGATGATATGCTTCACTGTTGGGAAATGCCTGAGTTGCTTTGATTTGTGTGTTATTGTGCAGAAATTAGGCACAGAACAAAAGAAGAGTAAGACACAAGAAATTGGGCAAGGAAACCAATACAACAGAAAATCATCAAGAAGTTCGTCGTGCAAAGCTCCTAGCGAACTTCCTCAGAAAAATCATCATCAACTTCGCACAGCGAATTTGCCAGCGAAGACCCTTGGGAGACTGAGTAATGTTCACTCAGAGAGAAAAGAGACTGAAACTCACTGTGTGAACTTGTAGTGAGATGGTTCGCAATGCGAAAAATTGCTCGCACAACGAAGTTTAGATATTTCTCAAGGACGGTTTAACTGTTCAGAGGCACCTCAGGTGCCTAATTTGATGTTCGTTAGGCGAAGGATCTGTTCGCAATGCGAACAAGATAGATGCTAAATGTACTATATAAGTACTTTTCTTACTTTTTAGGTTAGAATTTTATAATTTTTACATCAGAACTTATCCCTCTTCATTTCAAGTTTATTTTAGAGAGAGAAATACAAAACCTTAAGAGAGAGGAGGTAAGATCTTTGATCTCTTGTTGGGGTTTGGATGTAATCTTTTGATATCTTATGTATTTCATCTAATATATGTTTGTGAACTAGTTTGGATTCTCTATTGATTGATTATCTTTTATTGTTTATTTGTGGGTCTTGACAAAACCTTTTCACATCTTTGATCTAAGATTTTCATCTATCAATGAACAAACTTTTGTCATGGTTTTGTATGTTGATATTCACTGTATCTTCTATTTTATTGTGTTGATTAAGTAGCATGAGTATGATCAATACGATATTGTGTGGGCGCGTGATAATAGTGATGAAGAACAATGTTCAAAACCATTTGGCAGATTAGGTGAATACATGTAAAAAGGGTTAAGTGTATGTACATATTCTGATCATTGTGTTTTATTTAAAACAATCGTTTATCCGATATGGGTGTCGTCTTTGTTTACCTGTTTATCTTTGATTTCAACCACTATAGACATGTACTCTTCAGATCTGGATATAGGATGATTACCTGTTAGGTCCTAAATTCTAGACATAGATTTAGGCTTAGCATTCGCGTGGGTATCATTTCTTAATGCTCTGTGTTGTATTTTTGTTGCGTGAGACATCACCAATGAGACAATACAGTTGTTCTCTCAATGTTACGTTAGAGATGACCTTTGTTGTGGGTGATACGTGAGGATATTCGATGTAACACCCCAATTTTTAGTAATTATTTATTTATTTTAATTAATTGATTAATTATGTGATTTTGTGTCTAATTGAATGAACTAATTTATGTGATTTATTTGAATTAATTGATTTACTTGATATATTTGAATTAGTTGATTTATTGAATTTATATGAAATATTTGATTTATATAAATTAATTGATTTATTTAATTTATATGAGTTAATTGATTTAATTGATATATGTGATTTATTTTATTGGTATAATAAAATGTAGAATTGCTAGAATTAATAATTAGGCTTAATTGAGGGTGTGAATAGAAATTGTGATGATGGATTGAGTGAGACCAATAATTTTATGAGAAAATTGTGAGAGTTAGTAAAGTAGAGAAAGAGGAAGAATAAGGTTAGAAAGTTGGTAAAGAGGAAAAAGAGGTTAAAGAGAAGGAAGAGTAGAGAAGAAGAGGAACTCAAATTCAAAAAAACTCAAGAATTCAAAAATCAAGGTAAGGGTGATTTTTATCTCATTATTGGGATTATTTGATAGATTTAATGGATAGAAATATATTTAGATTGGAACTCAAAATTTATGCATTTGGAATTGTTAGGTTTTAGTGAAAATCTTTGAGATATATTAATTTAATTATTTTTTGGAATAAATATGTTAGTATATAGAGACTCATTCAATATTTAAAGTAAACCGATTGTAATTGGAATATGTTACCGAAGAGCAAGAAATGAGAAAGAAAAGTGATCCTTAAACTCTTTTACCTTAGTTCCTGTAGCGGAAGTATAGGCAATGTATTCTTTTATTTTTTTAAATCCTGTAGCACAATGCTATTAAAGGATAGAAATGGAAAGGTGTTACCTACACTTTTTTTTGAACGGTAGCGATGTTTTATATATATATATATATATATATATATATATATATATATATATATATATATATATATATATATATATATATATATATATATATATATATATATATATATATATATATATATATATATATATATATATATATATATATATATATATATATGATGCCTGTAGCAAAGTTAATAGGCAATGTATATATTAGAATTACTAAATAGTTATTAAATACTAATATATTTATTTAAAATATTGAGGATTTATTTAATATTAAATATTTTTTGCACATTTATTCAAATACTAATTAATTATTTAAATATTGATTATTTATTAAAATATTGATTATTTACTAAAATAATGATTGTTTGTTAAAATATTAATTATTTATTTAACATTAAATAATTCTTGAATATTTATTGAGTAGTGAATATTTATTCGAATTATCGAATTTTTAATTATTGAAGATGGGTTAATTATTCTATATTTAATTAGCGATGTGTGTTTTGTGAATTGAGGTTGAATTGTAGTGATACTTGTGTATGTGCAAATGTGTGATAATTCAAGTGTGATGAATTATTGAAGATATGCGTGGATATTAAGATTTGTGTAAGATCTTAATTGCATATGATTGTTGAATTTGCATACACATCATTTGTGTCAAGAGGCAATGCTTGTTAGTTCGGTGGGAGTTAGTGACTTGTCCCAAACCTAGAGCGGGGTTTGAAAGCTTAGGGAATGGGCTTTTGTCTGTTATTGGTCTAGGGAACGGACCGGTTTAAATGTAAAAACCGAAAAATAATAACAAGTGTTGGTACCACATTGCATGAGTTACATTGAGTCTTGCATTGAGTTTTGCATTGAGTCTCATTGTGTATATGTTTGTGCTATGAGATTATGTGTATCTATGTGAATTGTTGAAATTGGTGAAATTGTGGATTGTGTGTATATACTTGTGAGTGGTATGATTACTTGAGTGATACTTTGTTGATGAAACTTTTAAGTGTGAGAATAATTGAATTATGCTTGTATGCCTTAGATTAATTATTATCTTATAATTTCAATAATTATGTGAATTCTCACCCTTCTATTGGAATGATGTTTTATACGACATCGCTCAGGTACCGAGGAGTAGAGTTGCTTCTAGCGCGAGGTAGCCGTGGAGTAGCTTGATTTGTGTATTCATTTATTTTAGGCCGAGTCATGCTCTGATTATGTAACATTAGGGAATGTTTCGATTTCATGTTTTGAGAGATACTTTATGTACTCTACTCCATTATGTTATTGTTATTTTGAATTATATGAAGTA